AAGCTAAATTTTCTATACCACTATAGTTAATTTCTAGGTCTGTTAATACTTTGCTCACAAAATATATCGATCTTTGTTTTTCTTCATTTTTTCAGACTAAAATCGAGTCGATGACTTAATCCATGATGGCCAAGTATAAGTATAAGGTTTCATTAGACCTCAGCATAGATAGGATAAGTGGAGAGGATAAGAACTCTTTGAGTTTTTTAAAAGCTTTTTAACACTGAGGGGTCCACCTAAATCAAAGACATTTTTGAGAATTTTGAAAAATGACAGACATCATTCTTTTGATTTGGATATGAATTGGCTCAGGACGACTATTCTGCTCATTAACCTTTATACTTTTTTTTATTGAGGTTGACGCTTTAATGTTCAAGATTGCTTGAACCTTTTATGGGTTCACCTCTATCCCCTTTTTGTTGATCATGTAATTGAGAAACTTACCCGACATAACCTTAAAAGCACATTTGTTTGGGTTAAGCCTTATATTATACTTTTTCAAGTTGTTGAAGGTTTCTCTGAGGTCTTTCAAGTACTCAATCGAGCTCTTACTATTGACTATCATGTTGTTCACATATACTTTCATGTTCAATTGATTTGATTTTTAAACACCTTATTTACTAGCTTTTGCTAGGTCATCCCTACATTTTTCAGTTCAAAAAGCATTACCTTGTAATAATAAAGGCCTTTCTCAATAATAAAGGCTGTCTTTTCCTCATCATCTTTTAACATTATGATTTGGTTGCAGTTAGAATAGATTTTCATAAAACTAAAGAGGTCATGCTTGACACTATCATTTACCAGCCAATTATGCTAAGGAGAGAAAAGTTATTTTTTAGGTAGGTTTTATTTATGTCGATAAAGTTAATGTACATCCTTCATTTTTTACTGTGCTTTTTTGACCCTGACCACGTTGGCTATATATTCAGGGTAATATACCTCTTAAATGAAGTTTGCTCGTAATAATTTATCAATCTCTTTCTTGATAGCCTATTGTCTTTTTAGGACAAAGATTTTTTTATTTTGTCGAATTGATTTTACCTTAAAATTAGTGTGTAACCTATGAATGATCATTTCGATCTCAATTTTGAGTATATCAGATGGCGTCCAAGCAAGCAGATTGGTATTATCTTTCAAGTGTTGAATTAACTGATCCTCATGTTAAAGTTTGATTTTGATATGTAGATACTTTTCGATGATGGCATCCCAAAATAAAACTATTACAAGATTTTTTATTGGTTTAGGGCAGTATTCGTTTAAATATGACCTTTGATCAATTATCTCCTTTTGTTCAATTAGGTGAAGACAACAGATCTCGACATGATGATCAATATATTATGGATAACTTATTGAATATGTAAGTAGTGAAATCGGTATGTATTTTTCATTTTATATTGTATTTTTGGCCAACGTATTAGTTCAATCCAAATAATATGCAGTTGTTCACACTGGCTTAAAAACTTGATTGTCTTTGCAGTTACCTCAAAAAATTCAAAAAATAAAATAAAAGTTTTCTTTTTGTTAGAGCTTAAGAGCTCAGAGTAACTTAAGAATGTGCTTCTGTGAGGTCAATTTTATGTTTTAGCTTCTTGCTTGTAGCTTTCTGCTTCTTGTTGACTTTTACTATTTACCCCTCCTTAGTGTTTTTATTCTTAGTCAAACTGTCAGTCTACTTTCTAGTCTTCCATTTTATTATTGTGATATAACACTAACATGCCATAGACTGGTCTTTCTCAACTTTTCCAACCCTATTAGGTGTTAAAAATTTTACTTTCAGATGTGGAGCTAAACCTATTAGCCACATAACAGACTGACTAGGTCAGTCCAATATCATATTGTAGGTCAATGGGACGTTTACCACCATAAATTCTATAATCAAAGTGATTGTCTTAAGTTCTATCCCTAAAGAGATTGGTAGTTTGATTACTTCTTTCACGGGCAGTTGTTCATTCTTAAACCCTACCCAATGTTGTGGTGATCGGATGTAATCGATCTTCACTAATTCTCATCGTCTTCATGATATCGTATTACATGACGTCAGTCGAGCTCATATTGTCGAATAAGATTCTCTTAACTACATAGTTATACATTACGGCTATGATCACTATAACATCATCGTGGGAATATTAAATTCCCTCAAGATTTTATGATATGAATGAGATCGACTTATATTTTTAATCTTTTTCTCTTTTTACCGTGGTGCCTACTGCCATGGTTATGTTTAGGTTGAATTTCCTTTTGGTTAAAGTGGAGTTACCTCTAATGATCACATTAATCACTCCGACGATTAGCCTATTGTTATTAGTTTAACCTTATTTTTGTCTAGCCTCATTTTCTCAGTTTTATTATTATTTTTTTTGCCTTTTTTTTCTGCTCCAGGTGAGCTTTTTTTGATATTGTTTATAATCTATTCTGGGCTGACCTTGTCTTCACTATTTTACAAACCTTCTCAGTTGACCTCTTCTTATTAAGGCTTCAATCTCATTTTTTAGATCGACACAATGTTTAGTGTTATGGTTTATGTCCCTGTGAAAGCATATCTTTTGGTTGAATCTTTCCTTGTATTCTATCTTAATGTCTTTGACCATATGAGGTTGAAATTTCTTTCAATTTACATTAGAATCCTTTCTCGAGAGGTATTCAGTGCAGTATAACTTATTTCTTTACTGAAGCTTTTAACCTTATGTTGTCTCTCTTTTGGGGGAAGATCATAGAAATCCTTACCTTTTTTACGATTGAAGAGGTAGGATAAATCTCTTTCACCTCGGTCGTCAAAGAAAGAGGATGAGCCTCTCTCACTTTGGCCACCAAGAAAGAATGATGAGCTTCTTTTACTTCAGTTTATTTTCATTGTAGTTTCAGTGTTTATATACTTTTCGACTATTAGTAGGACGTCGACCGGTGTTCTAGGTGGTTCTAATGACAAAGTTAACTTTAAGTGATACTTTTTATCGTTGAGTTCACTTGTTAGGGTAGCCATAACAGTCATTTGCTTTAGGTCTTTAACCTACAGAGCTTTTGCATTAAAATGTGTAACATAGCTCTTAGAGATTCATTCCGACCTTAGTGGATCAACATCAAGCTCAAAATTATCTTTTTCACTCTTCGACTATTGACAAATCGAGATAAAAAAGAGTGGCTGAGCTCATTGAACGTTGTAATTGACCTCAATTCTAGATTGCTATACCAGGATCGAGTTATGCACTTCATTGTGGTAGCTAGGCATTTGCCCATTAAAGCCTCGTCTGCCCCTTGCATCATTATGTTAGTTCTATAAAGTTTCAAATAATCGAAAGGGTTAAAAATATCATTGTAGGTTTTCAAGGTTAGTATTTTGAACTCTTTGAAAGGTATGGCTCTATCGATTTCTTCGATGAAGAGCGAGGTCTCCAGGAATTTGAGCTTATCCTCAAAGGCTACTACTTTCATTTTTAGCTCTTTTTTCATAACTTGCATCCAAGCTTCTAAATCTTTGTTTGGTTGGGGTTTGAGATTTGTTTGTTTGAATTTTTAGGTTGTAGCATGTGTTGAATTATGGTTAGGGTATTGGTAGATTGGGGTGGTGTGCTCCTCTTCTTTAAAAGTTGTGGAGGCTTCCACCTCTTCATACCTTTGTTGTCTGATAGCAGCTTATCAGCCAGGGGTGATTAGGTCAGGCATTTTTGAAACTTGTGGTGGAATTTTGGTTTGTAATATCTGCTTAAGGGCTTGTATATATTCGGTCAAAGCTTGAAATTGTTCCATGGTTGGTCCTACCTGTGGTTGCATAGGTCGAATAGAATGTTAATTATGATGGGTTTCTATTCCAGTCGGGACGATCATCTCTCATTCCTTTAAGAGTCTTTTCCTTGGTGGCATTGCTTTATGCTCGACTAATGGGTGCAAAAAGGGTCCCCATACCTGGTCGCCAAATGTTTGTGCCAAGCTTCGACCTTAGGACGTTCCTGGATAAACAAAAGTAAAAGGCAGTGAGAGGCAAAAACAAGATGTATTCCTTGTGTTTGCATTCACACTCTGCCTTTGCAGTTCGACATGCAAGTCAAATAGAATGAGGTCAGGAAGTAAATAGAAATAAAGGGATGGGTCTTGGATCAACTTACTTTAGTGGTACCTAGACTTTCATATTTATAAGTGAGCAATAGAAAACTATCAAAGAATAATAAAGACAATGCCAAGCTGATATGATAATGAATATATCAAATCGACTTGATATGTCAAGTTGATATAGATAATAAAAATATTTTTAGTTATTTGTTGAAGACTTCTAAAAAAAAAATCATTATATTTTTTGACCACCAAATACACCTAACAATTACTATAAGAGAAAAGAAGTAACAAGTCATGTAAGCCAAACGAAAGTCTGTGAAAAATGCCAATTTAATGCAACAAACTGCTGAATAAAACAAAAGAACCTTCCAATTTTCAATTCAGAAAGAAAAAGTAAAGCACCTTTTGTGGTTAAGTGCAAAAATATTTCAATATAAATATCCATGGTCAAAATCAAATATTTTTCAACAAAGTAAGACCATTCTTATTCCATAACCTCAATTGTATAATTATTTTGATCCTTTAAGATAAACAAGCTATAATGAAACATATAATTTATAATTATTATAATATAATTAATTAATCATAATTTAAATTTATATAAAATTTATATTTTTAAATAACAAACTTATACATAATTTTTATTGTAATTAATTAATTATAATATTATAATAAAAAATTATAAGTAAAATGCTTCTCTTGCTATGCCACTTATTCACTCTCTTTCCTCTTTTAAAATTTGTAATTTTCAATTTTTTTATAAGGTTTATCGATTTGCAAGACGTTGTCGTTTAGAATTTAGTAAGTTTAAACGGCAACAGACACGAGGAAGCAGTGTTAACCGACGAGTCAACGGTCTTTTACCACGTGGCATACGGTAAATGGCCACGTATGAGACCGTCGGAAACGGCACGGTGTCAGCTCCAAAAAGGCAAAACAGTTAAAAGATACTACTCCATGTCTACTCTTCAAGTTCTACTACTACTTTAGTTGATGTCCGTTCGTTCGTTGCCCGTATATTACACGACACTTTCCAGAATTTACCATTCATTCCTCTAACGAAATTCATAATCACAACACTGACCTCAAGCCTTCCTCTCAGTTGAAGAACTTCACAAAGAGAGTGGTGGCCTGTTCTAATCTTAAAAAATCTCTTTTATTTTTTTAATTCCTTTATCTCCTTCATCAAATCAGCCAAGTTTCGTTTCCTCTTCCAAATAAAATTTTCTAATTTCGCGTTTCCAATTTATTTTTCAACCAATGCCGGGTCTCGTCTCCGTTAAATCTCCACCCGACGCCCCACAGCTACGGATTACAGTTCCGGAGCCACCGCCTCATAATCCACCGCGAACCCCTAACAGAAAGCCTCCATCGCCTTCCCCTTCCCGATCTAAGCCTTCCCCTGCCCGTTCCGCCAAGAAACCTCCACCCCAGTCACCTAACCCGGACGATTCCTCGCTCGACAACCCGGATCTCGGCCCCTTTTTACTCAAATTGGCCCGAGACACTATCGCTTCGGGGGAGGTTACTAGTAAAGCTTTGGACTACGCGGTTCGAGCGGCGAAGTCGTTCGAGAGATGCTCCGTGGAAGGTGAGCCCAACTTGGATCTCGCGATTAGCTCGCATGTGCTGGCGGCGATTTATTGCAGTTTGGGGAGGTTTGATGAGGCAGTTCCGGTGTTGGAGCGGGCGATTCAAGTAACCGATGTGGATCGAGGCTCCGATCACGCGTTGGCTGCTTTTTCGGGGCATATGCAGCTGGGGGACACGTACTCGATGCTGGGTCAAGTGGAGAAGTCGATTGGTTGCTATGAAGAGGGGCTAAAGATTCAGATCAAGGCTCTGGGAGAGACCGATGCCAGAGTTGGCGAGACTTGCAGGTTATCTTACTCTCTTTTTGTTATTAAGGTTCAATAGGAGATTTCAGATCTTTTGGGTGTTTGTGATAAATCGGGATAGACGCAGATATGTACTATTTGGGGAGAGACAGAAAGGTAGGATAATGAGAGAGAAAAGGTAGGGGTTATTTGGTAATTTGGGTTGAGTTCGATGAAATCAGCTCCTCCTTATTGAAATTCGAAGCATTGGGGAAGGAAACTATTTTCTTGGGATTAGAAATGGGTACCATTTCTCGTCATTGGCTTAGCATCACTCCTTTTGAAGAGTATGTGAACACTTCTTTAAATGGCCGATCGCTGAAATCTGGAAATCTAAAGGATTAATTTTATTCTGTTTTCTAAAGGAGTGTAACTTTTGACTAGAAATTTAAAGCCATATAGCAAGTAGCAACCAAGCGTTTATAGAGTTTTAGCTATGTGCCTCTTTCTTGGTTCTTCTTAAATTGTGTAATTAATGAATGGTTTATGGGCTTTAGCTTTAAATGCAGGGATATTAGTGAAGGTTTAGTTTTGGCTGGGTGTATTTATTTTTCCATGCAGAGATTCTTGTTGATGCATTTGTATGGCAATAGATTTGTTCTGTTTCCAGGTTTTGCCCAGAATGATTGTTTGTGTTTTTGTATAATCAATAGTATGTTCATGATCAATGGAAATGACAGGTACTTGGCTGAGGCCCATGTTCAAGCAATGCAATTTGATAAAGCTGAAGAATTGTGCAAGAAAACTCTTGAAATTCATCGTGCTCACAGTGAACCAGCATCGCTTGAAGAGGCAGCTGACCGCCGGTTGATGGCACTCATATGTGAGGCAAAGGGAGATTATGAAGCAGCCCTTGAGCACCTTGTCCTAGCCAGCATGGCAATGATTGCTAATGGACAGGAGAATGAGGTGGCCGCTATTGATGTTAGCATTGGCAATATTTACATGTCTTTATGTCGCTTCGATGAGGCCGTCTTCTCCTACCAAAAGGCACTAACAGTATTAAAATCATCGAAGGGTGACAACCACCCTTCTGTTGCCTCTGTCTTTGTACGTCTTGCGGATCTATACCACAGGACGGGAAAGCTCCGAGAATCGAAGTCCTATTGTGAAAGTGCCCTGAGGATCTTCGCAAAACCTGTGCCTGGAACCACAGCAGAAGAGATAGCTGGTGGGTTAACAGAAATTTCGGCCATATTTGAATCTGTGGATGAGCCTAAGGAGGCATTGAAGCTCTTGCAGAAGGCAATGAAGTTGTTGGAAGAAAAACCAGGACAGCAAAGCACAATTGCAGGAATTGAAGCACGGATGGGGGTGATGTCTTACATTCTTGGGAGGTATGAAGAGGCAAGGAACTCTTTTGAGAGTGCAGTAGCAAAGCTTAGAGCAAGCGGGGAGAGGAAGTCAGCCTTCTTCGGGGTTGTGTTGAACCAGTTGGGCTTGGCTTGTGTCCAGTTGTTCAAGATAGATGAGGCTGCTGAGTTGTTTGAAGAAGCCAGAGCGATACTCGAGCAGGAATGTGGCCCATGTCATCAAGATACTCTGGGAGTATATAGCAATCTTGCAGCAACTTATGATGCTATGGGAAGGTAACTAATATTTTAAACTACTCTGCATCTAATTCTATTCAACCTATCTTATGATTGATATACCTGCAGATCATTAGTATTACTTACTGGATTTTAGGCTTGTGTTACAGACAAAATGGAAAATAAAATTAGAAGGAATAAACTGGAAATGGGAGTGAAAGTTTGATATAGTAGTTTCGATTTTTGTTCTATCATGTATTCTTGAGTACTATTAACATCTAACAGTGACATAAGTATGGATGAATTTGATATGCTTTTATGGTACAATACATCTAATTTCTTAATGTTTTATATTTTAAATTTCCTCTGTAACTTTAACTCCAGAATTCAATTACTTATCTTTTGATGGAAAAATCAGGGTTGAAGATGCAATCGAGATATTGGAATATTTACTAAAATTGCGAGAAGAAAAACTTGGAATTGCAAATCCTGATTTTGAAGATGAAAAAAGCAGGCTGGCTGAGCTCCTGAAAGAAGCAGGCAGGTCGCGAAACAGAAAAGCAAAATCACTGGGAAATCTAATGGATCCCAACTCAGGGAGGACGAAAAAAGAGGGGACAAAAAGATGGGGTTTCAGAATTTGAAGTTGTTCCTCCCAGCGCATATCCATTCGATTTTCCAACATATACACATTCTGTAACGTAGAAGATCATGTATAGTGTTACAATTTGTAACTTGTTGAGCTTTCCTGTTTTCCGAGCTTTACGATCTCACTTGTTTTCATTTTTAACTATCGTTAAGGTCCGTGATGTGCTCTCGAAATTTGCAAAGAATGCCCATTTGAGTGAATAAATTTGATCATAATGTTTCCATTTCTTTCCATTCATAGCTCAAGCATGTATGACCCTAAAGACTTTGGAATGGTTGATCAAATCTAGACTCCTTTTGTTTCTTAGAAAAGGATTTGGGAAAAAATAATTTTTGCATTTTTTAATTTGTTAGTCAGAAAACTAATTGATCAATAAAAATTAACTTACTGATCAACAAAAAATAAAATTATTATTTTTTAAAAATTATTTTTCTTTTTTGAAAAGAGGAAGACAATTTTTAGAGAAAGAATTACTTACCAAACTTGTAAGTATAATTTTACTCAAGTTGGACTTTGAATATGGCTTTTTCAAACTTAAATTTAATTTATCATATCCAAAATATTACTATATTAATCAAAATATTTTTATTTAATTTTACATAAAAAATTAAAATATTAATATTAAAAATGTTATAATATTTTAATTTTTAAAATATTTTTATTATTCTACTTAAGTAAGATCTTAAACATGATATTTTAAGTTTAAACTTGATTTAATCTAATATGAAATATTATTATATTACTAAAAATATTTTATTTAATTTTAATTTAAAAAATTTAAATATCAAGGTTAAAAGTCTTTTGATATTTTAATTTTAAATATTTCTATTTTATATATTATTAAACATAAAATTTTTAATATTTCAATAATAAATAGTATATATTATTATTTTAATAATAAATAATAATATATTAAATAACATATTATTTTAATAATTAATATTAAATTATATTTTAATATTATTATTTTCATAAAATAAATATTTTACTAATTTATTTTTTCAATATAAAATATATTATTTTATATTTTATTTATTAATGTATTTTTATTAATTTTTTTAATCATAAATAATTAAATAAAATTTTTGTTATGATTTAACAATAAATACTTTCAAAATAAAATATAACTATTTTAACAGTATAAATATTTTTATATTTTAATAATAAATATTACTATTTTATTATGATTATTTATATTAATAAAAATAATATTTTAAGAATAGTAGTTCTATTTTAAATATTTTAAAATATTAATAAATAATAAATAGTTTTGTTTTAAAGTTTTTATATTTAGTATAATATTTTAATATTAAATATATTATTAAAATATAATTTTTCTATTTTAAATATTTTAAAATATTAATAAATAATAAAAAGTTTTGTTTTAAAGTTTTTATATTTAGTATAATATTTTAATATTAAATATATTATTAAAATATAATTTTTAATATAAAAAATTTTAATAATAAAAATTTTTAATATATTTTAATCATAAATAATTTTTAATATTTTAATAATTATATCAATATTATTTAAAAAATAAAATTTCCAAAAAACAATATACAACAAAAAAAATATTTTCCATTTACTTATCCAAACAATAGAAATTTTTTACTTTCTCAAAAAATATAAATATTTTACAGACAACATTTTTTGAAAATCAGTTTTAACCAAAAAAAAAAAATGGAGGGTCAATGTCCAGAATTTTGTATTTACTTTTCATATTGGAAAGTAATGGAATGCTGTCAAGCTGACAGAAAGAGCATGTTAAAAAACCATATGCTTTAGGGTTTCAAGTTCAGTGATTTTCAGGGGATTTTGGAAAATTAAAACCAGTGGAAAGGAAGAGTATGGGCGGGGAGGAAAAATGAAAGCAATTCTTTTTTTTTTTTTTTTTTGTTTTCAGAATCACATCAAACACTTTTTTTTTGCCCATAATAGATAATGCCATGTCATCAAACACGTGGTATTTTAAAATGCCACATCATCTAAAACTTATAAGTGATGTTCATGTGGATTGCCAAGTAAGCATTTAAGTGACAACCAAACTCTGGATTTTGACTCCAAACGATTTTAGTTAAATTCTGACTACAACATTGATAGCAATTAATAAGAGAAGGGACCAAAATAATTGCTTTTAGTGAGGATAAAAAAACCGTTATATCTTGCTACTTAATTTAATCCTGCACGTAATCGAAATATGACTCAGTTACACCTAACATTAAGTTTCAAACGGTATTAAGCTGAGGACAAACAAAAGCTCACTGAGTATCACTGTTCTTAGTTATTCACGTATATTCTCAGTCACGGTATTATAGCTCAGGACCAAAAAAAAAAAAAAATGTCCTCATGGTGAATGTTAGGTGATGCAGTCTGTCTGATTTCCAGCACTAAATGCATGTTCCAGCTCATATTCTTACCATGACCCACCTTTATTAATTGATCACAGCAATGCAAGTTCAAAGTTTTAAACACCGCAGATATCAGCCAGGACAATTGTCAGAAATGCATAGTCTTTTATTAGTTACACATCTGTCCAGAAAATTTTACTATTAAAGTGACAAATTTCAGATGATATTAATTCAAAATTGAATTATATTTGGCAGATTATTACCATTAGGCAGTGATAAATGCATTCCCTATAGCATAAATGAGCAGCATTATTTTGAGAAAGCATGTTTACCGTTCGGCCTTTAAAAACTTTCATTATCCTTATGTAGTCAAGGTTAATTATTGCCTTTAACTTCATTATGGTTGCTCCAATTATCTAAACATGGCAGCAAAATGGCTGTCTGAGGGTCTGAGCCCCTGAGTGGCCCTGACAGCTCACAGTATTCAACATATGGATTATGGATAAGCTAGACTTAAATTCAGTGGAAAATAGCAGTGAATACCATTGGCTGGCTATTATCTAAGAAAAACCATGGGGAAAATAATTAAGAATCTGGAAAGCAGTGCCAACACCACATCTGCCCCACAAACAACTCCATTTCAATCAAAAAGCGAGAGTGAGAGAAACGGCTTTCTTTCTTTGATTCTTTCCTTTCTTCAGGGTTCTTTTTCCAAGCATTTTATTACGAATTTTACGACCCAACACATGCCATGCAAGGGACCTATGCCTACCATTTTTAGATGGTTGCCAAACCTTAGCTCAGATGAGGCAAGCCCACACCATTGGACACCTTCTTACTGATTCCCCTTTCTTATATATGTATGTACAACTCATAGACGTTTCATCCAGATCTGTTCTTGTTGAAAATCTCCATATAAAAGATCCCTTTTGGACTCTCTCCACCCTTTTTCTCCCCTTATTTCTTATTGTCTCATTTATTCCTCTCCAGCTCCCCAGCCATGGTTTCTCACCTAGTCAAAACTATACGAAATGTAGTTGGGATCACAGGTACGTTGTTTAACATAGAATTTATGATACGGCTGCTCTCCTTAAACTTGTTTTACATCTGTTGAAGGCTAAACTAACGTGGGTTTCTTCTGCTTCTTTCCAGGGAACGTCATCTCACTCTCCCTGTTCTTGTCTCCAGTGTAAGCTTCGACTTTAGCATAATCTTTTTAAAGTACAGTTTTATATATATATATATATATATATATACACACATACATATATAGTTTTTGGGTTTTCACCCAGAAAATGAAGAAGAAAATCCAAATATCCCTTCTCAGTGGAAACTGAGAGGACATAATTGCCCATATAGCGGCGAACGACTTTTAGAAAAGAAAAAGGGCATTGTTGGCTTTTGCGTTATAATTAAAGGCAATAATCAAACTTAAATAATGTCAATTTTATATAAAACTAATAAGTAATTTGATTTTTTATCAAAATAAAAATAAGAATGGATATTAGATTGTAGGATAAGGATGGTTATAATTTTTAATTTGTTATCGGATATAAGATTGAAGATGTGTGTTATAAATATATGGATTAGTAATATAATACACGACCCGTATTCGTATTCATATTATATATATTTAATAAATAAATTTTTATGAAATAATATAAATGATTATGTTAGATTAATTAGATCAATATATTTTTATTTAAAATATAGTATTTATTAAAAAAATTACATAAAAATACAAGATAAATATTTAAAAGAAATTAAAAAAATAAATTTTGATTTTATTTTTTTAAAAAAATAAATATAATATAAAAATTCAGAGACAAAAATGTCCCATACCATAACCGTTGATATTGCTAACCATAATTTTTTTTGGTTGCAATGGATTTATTAGGTTTTCTTTTTGGAATCAAATTATGATTAATAACATTTATTTTCCAGGCCAACTTTTGTTCAAATTTGGAAGAAAGGGTCAGTGGAGCAGTTCTCGCCAGCCCCATACCTAGCAGCCTTAATCAATTGCATGGTTTGGGTCATTTACGGGCTACCGATGGTGCACCCCAATAGCATCCTGGTTGTGACCATCAATGGCGCAGGGAGCGCCATTGAGGTGGTGTATCTAGCCCTCTTCCTCATCTTTTGTCATGAAAAGAGAAAGAGAAGCAAAGTGCTGCTGATCATGGTGGTTGAGCTAATTTTCATTGCCGTTGTCACCATTCTGGTTCTCACCGTAGTTCACACCCATAAAAGCCGCTCCTTGGTCGTTGGGATTATAGCAATTTTGTTCAATATCATGATGTATGCTGCGCCTTTATCCGTCATGGTTAGTATCATAGAATTTCTCTACCCCAAAAATAAGACAATTAGAAGAGTATAACTGTAAATTAATATCATTCTAATTACGTGCTAAAAGAAATGCATGCCCTTCCATGGTCTAATTTATTTATGATGATGATGGTGGTTGTGCAGAAACTGGTGATCTCCACGAAAAGTGTGGAGTACATGCCATTTTTCCTCTCCTTTGCTTCCTTTCTCAATGGTGTTGCTTGGACTACTTATGCTTTCCTCCCTTTTGACCCTTTCATTGCTGTAAGTTACACTTTCAGTTTTAACCTTTTTCTTTCTCGTTTGGCTTCCATATTAAGAAAGGTGAAAATATTGAATAAAAAGGTGAATTGCCCCTTGTCCATTTAGAAATATATATATATATATATTTGTATTCATGTGACACTAAAAGTGGCTTTAAAGTTTTCCCTATTAGTAGGCATCTTAATATTTGATTTTCCACTCCATGGAACTAACCACTTTGGTGACATGAATATTTCCATGCAAAATTTGGCAAATATGACAATCTTGATTGATGTGACTAATTTACTTTTGGTGGGTTAGGCACCTCCCATTTTCCATGTGCCTTCTAAAAAGAAGGGAAAGGACATAGAGCTCTTTTTGAAAAGGTCAAAAAAGAGCTGACAATCCCAAGTCCATGTGGGTTACATTATTAAATCAAGATTATTGTCTTTCACCTCCTAAATCAACTTGTCATGTGCAACCTCAGGGTCGCAATTAAATTTAGTAATTCGTATTATTATATTATATAAAATATTATATTTTTATTATAATTTTTATAAAAATTACATATTATAATTTATATAAATATAAAATATAAATATATATTTTTATTGTATTTAATTCGTTTATAAAATTTATTAAAATTTTAATCATATTTTTTAAAATTTTTATATTATTTTCATATCATATCATATTTTAAATTATTATAATTTTTTTTCTTGAAAGTTAAAAGTTAAATATGGGTGTTGGGTTTTGACAGTGATTTGGTAATTTCTAAAATCGCCTTTTGGTTTTCATTTTCCAGGCTCCAAATGGACTGGGCACATTGTTAAGTTTAGCCCAGCTGTTGTTGTACGCCACATATTACAAGTCCACAAAGAGAATAATGGCAGCAAGGCAAGAGAACAAGATCGAGATGCATCGGTCAGAGGCGGTCGTCGATGGAGGAGATGGTGAGCCCAAGATGACCGGCGGAGCACCTTACAGGACCCATCCATCTGCAATTTAACCATATAAATATCTATATATAAAGATATGGAGAGTTTATTTTTGTTATTTATAACATCCTCAAACTTTTTCCTTACAAGTCATGTTTATGTTTGCAGTGAACTCAATGATATCAGAGTCTAATTTAAGAATTAATGATCTCAATTTCAATCAAATCATAGTCCAAAAAATTAAAAAATTAAAAAAGCTATGAAGGTTTTAATTTTTTGAAAATTAATATTATGTGATCCAACTTAAATAAGTTTTTACATCAGATTTTTTCATTTTTTAAGGTAAAAAAAAATCCTAAAATTTACTTGGGAAATTTAGAATTCTATCATATTTTATTATAAATATAAAATTTCCTTATTTGAAAATTAATATTATGTGATCCAACTTAAATAAGTTTTTACATCAGATTTTTTCATTTTTTAAGGTAAAAAAAAATCCTAAAATTTACTTGGGAAATTTAGAATTCTATCATATTTTATTATAAATATAAAATTTCCTTATTTGAAATGTGATTATTCTTAAGTTTACTAAACAAACTACAACTTTGTACATATTAACCTTATTATGTTGTAAAAGGTTAAAACTCAAAATTCAAGTTAACAAAGGGGGATTTAGTGTTAACCCCTCTTTTATGTTTGACCAAAAAAAAGTTAATTGTTCTTCCCTCATATTCAGAGATAACTTCAAACTTTAAACTTCAGCTCTACAGAAACTATTTTTTTAAAATTATTTTTAATTTCGTAGTGGTGGTGACGGCTTTTCATCCAATTCCAAACATTTCATTAACAACAACAAATGCACCGTCCTGTCAGTACTCTTTAACAACAAAATCTCCCAAAATACCTCCAAATTTTAACAAATTACATGCATACCATGAAGGAAGTTGGCAGCATAATGAAGATGAAATCACGGCAAGAGGAAGTAAATGATGCTGATAATGCTAAGTGAGCTACGGGAGCTGTCACGTGAAGTATAATTATTTTGTTGAGTTTTAATTAGTTATGCGATTGTGGTTTGATGGTCGTGTGAGAAAGAATTTGTTCAAATGTTGGATGAATTGTAATTGAGGAAATGAGCTATAACAATCATATAAAACGATTATTTTAAAACCACGAATAAAAAATATCATTGAATTTTCTTTAAATTTCTTTTTCTTTTTTGATCTCATGCTCTGCACTTTTTTAATTTAATTTTTTCTCTTTTCATCATTATTCATGTTATCACAAATTGGTATTAGAACCATATAAATCCAACGACATTGGAAACTCCACATAATGTCACCTATTATCAAGTTGAAGAGTTGCATAAAAAAATGGAAACAATGAAAAGATAATGTTTCGAGATGGTGGGAGATAAAAGCAACCCTAATCGAGAATCAAAAGGCCTAAAAATAAGAAATATGTGCAACAAGTTTGGATTTGTTGAATCCAAAGAAAGTATCGCAAGCTCAATCGAAGTCTAAGGGTACAAACAACGATAACAGCAATCAACTTACAATTGCCTCTTTGTAAAAAGAAAATGGTAAGTCTCTTATTGTAATCGTGACCAAGGAAAATATATCTATAAAATTAATGAATTGGGTTATTAGCTAAATATTCAGTCTGAGTCTAGGAGTAGTATCCTTCAAGATAGAATACAAGAACCATGAATTTATTAAGGGTAGTAACCCTTATGCTATGAATGCATATACCCAAGAACTATCCAATTTTCATGGATATATCCGGAGGGAGGACCAAGAAATGTAAAAAATACTTTGTTGTTTTTTCCATTTCAGACCATCAAAATTAGAAGTGATAGCAATGTATTTGTCAGGAAAAGCAAAAATATGGGTTGACAATTAACAATACTTTGACGTGGTCAAAGTTTGCTCAGGATTAATGCTATAGGATTTATTCAAATGTGATAAAAGATTTTAATAAGTTAGTTTAAAAAATATAGTGGAGGACTAGCGAGAAAGGTTTTTCGTAATGCTAGTTTTTTCATACTGCTAGTTTCATACTGTACTTTTTTCTTATCTAAATTCTCTCTTTGCTATCACTATCCATCTTATCATAAAAAGTAAAATAACTCTTTCAAGGGCTTTTATGTAACTTTGCACTTATTTACCGCACGTTCCCAAAGTTTTTTCCAGAGAAAATAACATTTCCTTTTCAAATCGGTTGCGCAATTAAAGATCCCCACTTTCCCTAATCTTCCAGGTGACCCTTCATCCTGCCTTTCCCTTTTAGCAACTGCAAGAATCAGGCAAACAATAATTGAAATCCTCTTTCAATTTCAGCTTTATTCCTTGATTTCTTTTTTAAAGTTATTCGAGAAACCCTAGTTTCCGAACTTGAAAGGTAATGAGGCGGTGGTTTTAATTCAATAATCTGATTTCGTTTTTCTTTTTTTTTTTCTTTTGTTAATTGCTGTAATTTTATCCGGATATATTCATTGGCGAAGGTCAAAAAATTTTTTTTGATTAAACTAATCGAAAAGTTTCAAGCTTGGGGAAAGCTAATCTCCAAAACGGAGACTCTGGATTGAACTCGTGGCATGCAACTCCTGAAACGACGCCGTCGTCGTTCTTAGTCAACAAATTTTGCGGTATTCCTTTTTCCTTAGATTTCTTATTTGTTTGCCGATTAAATTATAAAAAAAAAAAAAATCGGATTTGTTTTTAGATTGTGTGAAGCTAAATTTTGCCTTTGTTTTGTTTAGGTAATAATGCAATCGCAAATTTCAAATTTTAGGAAATTATAGAAGGTAACTATGCTATTTGAGTTGTTATCTCTCATACTTACTCGGTGGTTTTTGTTCCTAATTAGTTGATTAAGTTAGTTAATTGTGACTGAACTTATTCAGATTCGTTTGATGTTAAGAGATACTTGTTTGATAATCGGATGAGAAAGAAATCCGGGCCCTTTTTCGAGAAATTTCCAATTTATGTTTAATGATAAAATTCTATTTTTGTAGAATTAGAGATAGTTATTTAGCCATTGGAAATATGTGATTGATGAGTTTTTTGACATTGTTGTGCTACTATGAATTTCAGGGGATTCCGTTCATGAGATGCAATAACAGGTAATGGCGTTATGAGCTTGTCATCTTTGTATGGTATACTTTATAGCTAGGTGCTGATAGTCCATGCTGTAAAGCACAGAAACCATGGGAGATGGCAATAACACCTCAGGCAGAGGCATTGCAGCCAACAATACTACCTCATCCAGCAACAGTGAGAAGCCGGAGTGGCTGCATCAGTACAATCTTCTTGGCAAGATTGGTGAAGGTACTTATGGTCTTGTGTTTCTTGCAAGAATCAAGTCTCCAACAAATCGCGGAAAATGCATTGCCATAAAGAAGTTCAAGCAGTCCAAAGATGGGGATGGTGTCTCACCCACTGCCATCCGAGAAATCATGTTGCTTCGGGAGATTTCACATGAGAATGTTGTGAAGCTTGTAAATGTGCACATTAATCATGCAGATATGTCATTATATCTGGCTTTCGATTATGCTGAATATGACCTCTATGAAATCATTAGGCACCACAGGGACAAGGTTACCCATGCCATCAACCAATACACTGTTAAATCATTGCTCTGGCAGCTGCTTAATGGACTGAACTATCTCCACAGCAACTGGATCATACATAGAGATCTAAAGCCATCAAATATATTGGTAATGGGTGACGGTGATGAACAAGGAGTTGTCAAAATTGCTGATTTTGGACTTGCAAGGATTTATCAAGCTCCCTTGAAGCCATTATCTGAAAATGGTGTGGTTGTAACTATTTGGTATCGTGCACCTGAGTTGCTTCTTGGTGCTAAGCATTATACCAGCGCAGTTGATATGTGGGCTGTTGGATGCATTTTTGCTGAGCTTTTGACTTTGAAGCCACTTTTTCAAGGGGCAGAAGCCAAATCCACACCAAATCCTTTTCAACTTGATCAGCTGGACAAGATATTTAAGATCTTAGGCCATCCCACCCTGGAAAAGTGGCCCACACTTGTAAATCTTCCACATTGGCAGTCAGATATGCAGCACATTCAAGCGCACAAGTACGATAATGCTGGTCTTCATAGTTTTGTTCATCTTTCTGCCAAAAGTCCTGCATTTGACCTCTTATCTAAGATGCTTGAATATGATCCTCAAAAACGTATAACAGCAGCACAGGCCTTAGAGCATGAGTACTTTAGAATTGAGCCCTTACCAGGTCGCAATGCACTGGTACCCAGCCAACATGGAGAGAAAATTGTCAATTATCCTACTCGTCCAGTGGACCAGAACACTGATTTTGAAGGGACAACTAGCATTCAACCATCACAACCCGTGTCATCTGGAAATGCAGTTGCTGGCAACATGGGAGGTGCTCATTCTGGGAGAAATGGATCTGTCAATCGGCCTGTGCCACCTCCTCCCATGCAAAGAATGCCTCAGGGCATGATGGCTTATAATTTCCCTTCTCAGGCTGGAGTGGGTGGTGGAATGAATCCAGGAGGTATGCCAATGCAGCGGAATCTTGCTGCCCAACCCCATCAGCAGCAACAGTTGAGAAGGAAAGATCCAGGAATGGGCATGACTGGATACCCCCCGCAGCAAAAATCAAGACGCTTGTAAGAATTTAACTTCTAATATGTTGATCATCTAAATGTAATCAAGCACGATGTTGTATTCTTTCAATTTCAGTATAATATTAAACTTATTTCATGGAATTTATGACCCACTGACTTACGAGATCTATAAATTTATTGTTGTGAGCTCTTTTCCTGTCCAATTGCTAACCATGCTTCAAATTCCAAGTCATGGCCTGCTGTACTGTGAGCTCCCTCAGGTTCGAAATTTCGGTTGGATAGCCTTGCTGTCCTTGCTTGATGAACTTTTTCCGTGCTGAATCTATTTATACGTTGCAAATTTTTGTTTGATGACTCACGATTTAACTCTTTGAAAGTTAGCGAAGATAAGGTGCACAGGTGAGTCTATTGACCCATCTATAGGCCTCCCAAACTCAAAGGTTACAGATCTCAAACCTTGTTTGACTTTTTGTTATTACGAGGGAAAACATAGTACTATCTTTATCTTTCGTTGAGGTTCTTTTACGAGGTAACAGTGAAGTAGGGTCAGAAAAATCTTCAATGGAGTTTCTATTCTACTTCTGGTAATCCTTGACCTTCAAGACGTTAATGGATAAACAACAAACTAGCGAGAATCCTAATAGAAGCTTGGTAGAAAGCTTTTCACTCTCACCCGCTCATTTGAAGTAATCATAAGACCAGTTATTGACTTATGGCTAAGAGGCCTAGAGTCTCGTTGATTTCCAAGTTGGGTTCGCCAGCCACCGAAAACATCTGAATTCTGATGAATGCTTATTTTAGGATTGTATCCTAGATTTTGAGATAAATTGTCATACGTTAAAAATGAACTGAGTCGTAAATATTCCAATTAAAAGAATGTCATACATTCTTTTCCTTAGCAGAGACGAGAATTAGGACTTTTGTAGCTAAATATTCCAAAATCTGCACTCTTACTCTCCATAAATTCTAAGACTATAAGAATTACACTCTAAATATATCTACAACCTAATCATAACTCTCCAGTGCTCTCAGGAGCTCCCTTGATTGGCCATCGAGTCATAAACAGACAATCTAATGATATTGCTGCTTGATGATCTTGGAACATCTAGACACTCCTGAAGGTCGGCATCGCAAGCTATCAAAACCCATTCATCATCGTCATCAAAGTACTTGATATCAATAGTACCCACCTCCAGCTTCAGCCTCTTGGCCACTTCCTCTTTCAGTTCCACCACACCAGAACTTAAGGGAGATCCGAAATCTAATTATATCTTCTCTTTAATCAGCCTTAATGGTCACACTCTCCATTTCCTGCTTAGCTGTTACATGAGGTGTTGGCTGAGTAAAAGTATCCATGGCTTGCCTGAGAGCCAGATCAGAATATGGAGGTGGCGTCCAACTAGATTCTGGAAATCTCCCATCAACACCAATTTCTGCTGCTGAAGGACGTAGGTTTCTCAAGTCTTTTGAACTTCCAGCACCCTCTACAAGCATACCTCCAAGCAGCTCTTGAGGTTCTGTTGTCACAAGGGCTTCAGGCATTGAGAAAGTGCCCGATATATTCAGCTCCCCTAAAGGTTGAAAGGCCAATTCAGGAGAGCTGCATGCATTCGAGCATTGCTCATGGATGGAACCAAGTGGATCCATCAGGGCTGCCTTGGCGTGAACCATCAGAAGTGGGCGTCTCAGCACTCTCTTCTCTTGAGCCACTCCCTGTTTTGGATCTGTTTGCCCCTTTATCCAAATCGGTGAGAGACCATTCTGCTGAGGGAAAATTTCTTCTTGGCTAAATGTCCTCCCTCCCAGCAACTGATCCTTCATCAAGGCTTGTCCGTTACTTCCCAGTGTCCTACTAGAGGGCGAATCATCTTTTTCACCTTGAACTGAGAAGGTCTGGAGTTTGGTGAGTTTTGTTGATTGGACCCATTCAAACTGGTTGGCCATGAAATAGATTAAACAGCTCTGGCAGTGGACTAGCGGCAACTGAAGTTAAGCCAAATGCTCCATCAGCACCTTGGGCAGATTCAATAACACGTTTTAGCTTAGTGAGGAATCGGTTGACTTTGTTGATCTTAGGAGATGACCACCGGCAGATCCCGTGCTGCCTGCAGATGCACTTCATTGTTGTAGGACAAACTGTAAAGCAAGAATCTGCCTGAGCATAGTCCATTTCAATAGGTACCGAAAATATATTCCAGTTTATATACATATAAATCAGCATCTTTTAAGTAATATAAGTTCAAAAAGCAAAGAAAAATTTTCAGAAGGAGCATATGCATACCACCAAGGCTCTTTGCAGCATCATCGCAAAATTCTGTTGGAGCACCTCCAGACTAATTTATTTCTCAGCTTTCCCACGTTTTCTCTCTGATGTTTTTAAGCCTTTATTCCGTGGAAGACAAAACAGGTTTTTGGGTTCCCCTAGCAACAACATTACCTCCATTAGTTGCAGGGTCAAAATTCATAGTTAATTGCTGTTTTGATGAATTTAATTGCAGTTCTCCTCTGTTTGGTGAGGTGTTAGCCCCAGGTGGCGACTTCACAGATGGAGGAATGGGAATAGATTCAAGTATTGAATCAAGCCTTTCATCTGAAGAAGCGTCAATGATTTCAATAGATCTTTTCATCCTCCTCAAGTTCAGCTCCAGAAGCAACCTAAGACTTCGGAAATGCTGCTTCATTGTTGCCAGCATGGAGCCCAGTAAAGTCCGTTGTTCATTGCTGTCAGCAATAGCAGAGGGCAAAAAAAATTCTCGAACATAAACATCATCTCAAGTATAAGTACTCCATAAGCAGATTGCAAAACAGCTGGTTAATCCAACATGTGAGCCTAGTGTACTAAGGGATACTCAGTTTTGAAAAACTGGGTAATGTCTGCGCAAAAGCACGATTTGTTGGATAATAATGCCCTCCCAGCAACCCCCTGACCCCTTGTAGGTAATGCTCAAGACAAACAACCCGGAAACCGCATACGTGAGCATCTACAGGATAGAATGCCACATCAGTTGTTGACATGCAGAATTGTCCCATGCAGCTACCATCAACGCTTGTACAGCTTTTCTTTAGACCACCACCATCAGCCAAAACACTGCGATGCCTGCAAGGAAACGAGGTCTGAGCCAAAGGTAACTTGTGATTTTCACAGACAACTGTCAAAATCTCCAAAATTTCAGCCAGTGCATTTTGGCGACTTTTATTGCAAATCTGGTGTAAAAGCATTAGTTTGTCAGAATAGAGAGAAGAAATAAAAGAATAACATAACACTTTTTTTATAGTATCCAAAACGAATAACAGATTTGACAAAATAACAACTTAAGCTCACCTGGGTGCTTGGATGATCCAATATTTCTGAACTTTTCAGATTCACTGCCTGCGTAAAAACTATCACATGACTGAGGAATCTCACAGCATTTTAAAACTAGAAATATTTGCCGAGAATCAGTGCTTAAGAATGCAAGAAAAAAGGTTCTTCGAAAAAGTTCCGAGGAATGGACTGATGATTTAGCACTAATCAAATTAGCAAACAATGAGGCTAGTATGTATGAGAAAGGGAAAGAAACCCAACTTCAAGTGCTTTGCATACGTTATCAACCTCAGTTGCATAATGTTAAAGCGGTGATATCCCAAATTAAATAATTATCTAATCATATATAATATTATATTACAACATACATAAAAACTTATAAGATTTACTTATGTGGTTGCTTGGATAGATAATCTATATTATTGACGCGTAAGATATTTTTCAATAACTTTATTAAATCAATTATTTAATTTTTAAAAATTTTTAAGTTTCAAAATTTTCATTTATCAAAATATTTCAAAATGTATAAAATTTATCTTAATTTAAATCTAATAAAATATTTCTTTTCATATTTCACTCTTATCCGATTCAAATAGTTTTTAAAGGTTAAATTTTTAAATCTTAGGAATAATAAAAAATTATACACCCTCTAAATTAATATTCATATAAATTTAAATAAATAAAATTTATGGTTGAATCATTTTATTTACTAAATTTTTGTCTTTATTTTTTTATAATTTAAAATAAAAAATATTTTATCTTAATTTAAAATTACACACATCTAAATTTAAAATTATACTAACTTCTTTTATCTTAATTTAAAATTAAACTTAGATAAACTAAATTTTTAAAAATTTAAATTTTTTCAAATTAAATAATTATTAAATATATATTTATGATTTTTTTTTCACAATCAATATTTTTTTCTTTTCGTCATAAAAGTTTAATAAGATAAAGTTTCAAAATTAAATATGAAAAAGTTTTTCGTGATATATTACATATGTAAATCTTAGTTTTTATACTAAAATAATATATTCTTTTAAAAATTTATATAATTGTGAATAAAGGATTAACTTTCTCATTGATATTTGTATATAATTTTACTTTCATAATTTAAAACTTTCATAATGCTTATTTAGATTTTTTCATAATAATTTATATATAGACAATTTTTTTAATTTTAAACTACAAATTATAAATGATTATGATTATTTTTATTTATCTATATATAATATAAAAATTAATATAAATTAAAATTTCAAATCTAATATATATATATATATATATATATTATATTACAACATACAAGGTTATGTAATCAAAATTACTTATGTGAATATCTAGGTGGATAATTTCTTTTAATGACACATGAGATAATATTTATATTATTTTATTTATCAAATAAAATTTTTTAATAAATTATTTAAATTAAATATTTTGGATAATTATTTAAATTGAAATCAAGATCTACCTAAAATTAAAATTTTTGCATAAAATTTGAATTCAAATATATTAAATCATAATTTGTCTTTTTTTTTAAATTTAGTAGCAGTTCCAAATATATATACTTAATAAAATTTTATTTTCTATCAAATAATTCTATTTAATAAATTATTTAAATTAATATTTTTAGATAATTATTTAAATTCAATCAAAATCTATCAAAAATTAAAAATTATTTAATAGATTATTTAAATTTAATACTTTAAGATAAGTTAATAAATTATTGACTAGAAAGTATGTATTTTTAAAGTAATAAAAACTTATATCTTTATATGAAAATATGAAACATTTAATGTTGATTAAAAAAGTTAGATAACAGTATGTTTTTACTTTGAAAACAAATATAATGTTTTATTTATGTTCTAATTCAAATATTTTTATATTATATATTTGGTTAATTTGTTTGTTTCTTCTTAGTTCATAACTATTTTTAATTTTGCTTAGATTGATTATAATTAATTTTTTGTATTATATAATTTTTTGTTTTATTCATTTCTTTAATGTTTTTATTTTCTGTTAATTTATTAACATGTTTGCTTTTATTATTGTAAATATTTAATATTGACAAATTAATATGTAAATTTATATTCTCTATTTTCTTTAGCTATACTTTTTATTATTAAATTTTTTTGTCGACAATAAATGATATGAGAAGAATGATGATCACTACTATATCTAACTCACAAAAAATACTATCAATTATGTTAAAAATGATTAA